CTCCTTTTTACCCGATAAACCGCTCAGCTGCATGCGATTCTTCACCAGATCCAACGGCTGCACAAACAGCGTTGCACCCATTCTTTAAAAAAAAAATGCGAATTTTTTAGCTCCAAAAATATGACACTGTTTTTTGGTCTAATTCTGGAAATTAGAAAAAAACTTGAGAATTGAAATATTAAAAAGTAAAATCATAAGAAACCGATTAACATTTATTTTTTGAAATAAATACGAAAGGATAACTTATTTGGCAACGCAAAAAGAAATCAAGTCCCTGCAGTACGATGTTGCTCCAACTAAAGTATAGTAATCGAAAAAGTTTAATTATAGGATCTTCAAAGTAGTAAGATCTCCAAATTTCTACTACAGTTGTTGGATCTAAAATTTTGGACACGAAACATCCTCGCTGATAGAACGAAACAAGCTAAACAGTTTGGGATAAACTGTTCAAGCACATCGAAATGCCCTCATCACAGCTGTTATTATTATACTCATACCAAGGCACAAATTTTTATTTACTTAGTAATGCATACATTTAAATAACAATACATTTGATAATACATATACTATTACAAGAAAATATATTGACAGTACATAATACTCATAATGCTTAATAACAAATATACGCTGGTCTGATCCGTTAACTCGATTATATATGGAGTGTTGTGGATGAGGCGAGCTCAGGTTGTCGGCTTAGTCACTGGAGATGATCAATAGCGCGTTAGTGACGGAAACGTCGTAATAAGGTGATCAAGGAAGGATATTTAATAATACCCATATTTAAATAAGTGGTTCTGATTTCTTCGAACTTAAATTATTATTACTATTTCCGTCTGCGTGTTTCTTTTACTTTACTTTTATTTACCTGTTATGTACTTACCCCGCGGATCCACCGAGTAAAAACTTGACGCCATTTGGAATTCTTGCTGCTGATTTATCCTTCGATGTATCCGACATTGCTGCTCCAGTCGCTCTTTCGGCAATGTCTCAATCAGGCTGAAATCAACTGGACCCAATGGAAGATTAGCAACAATGCTTATAAAAATGCCACTTTTTTTTACACTGCGCGGAAACCACATCGAAAATAACAGCAATGAAAGCAATCTACAGTAGACGACTTAACTATCTACAAATTTTACTTCTACAAACTCCAACTTACAACCCATAATCCATAAATTCCTTAGTGCTTCGAGCCTTTCCCAACCGATAATCCACAGCTTAATCCAAAACTCGCTACTTAACAACCTGCAACTCTCCGCTTGGCAATCTACGTTCTGCCGAACAGATAGATCTCCCCGACCAAAACCACCTAGGTCTTCAGCTAGGAACCCTCAATGCAGTCTGGGAACAATAAAGATACGTTTTCTGCACAAATTTGGCTAAAAAACTATAGGAGTGTATATTCTCAGCCCTAGGCGAAGTGCACCTCCGTTTAATACTATCCAAGCAATACCAGCAATGTGATTCAACAAAAATTTGCATAATTTCTAACTTTTAAAATAAATTATCATACGATGTGAATATCACGCAATGGCAAGTAGTGCAACTCCCATGGTAACGATCGAAAAGCCTCAAAAGCCTGACTGAAATCAACGGGAAAAATAATCTTTCCACAAAACGTTCATTCGTTTCGATGGCAAATTGGTACTGGCATGTGTCACGGAATCAAACCCGCTATCAGCTTGCTTCTGTGCAATCCTCCGAAGAGTCAGCTATCGTGGCTTTGTCAGCGGGAACACCCGCACATCATTCACGTGACAGAGACGCAGACATTTCAAGCATCCTTCGCTTCATGGCTTTCTCCGCCGTCGTAGTTAGCGCTCGCTCTTCAGCTTTCATCAGTGATCACGTTTCACATCCTTACGTCACTGCCTTCTGCACAGAGATAATTAAGAAATGGGATCGACCCGAAACTGTGACGTAATTTAGGCACCGAAATTTGGTTAAAGCAACAACCAATCTCCGCAAACCTCCAATAATCGCATTAAACACCGCTCGTTCAGTACTGCCTCCCTGCACAGACAATCAGTAAACATCAAAGTGCAATGTTCAAAGCCAAACAAACACAAAATCACTCCGGCTCTGGTGATTGTCTATATTTATATAAGATACTTAACAAAAGCGGAGTAAGAAGTAATAGTGTTTTCGATTTCGTCAGTGGGTTGACCAACTACTCCACGATTCGTTCATTCGTCTCGATGCTAATCTGGTATTGACATATGCCGAGGAGTCAAACTCGCCATCAACTTGCTTTTAAGCAACCCTCGAAAGGAAGAGCCATTGGCATCACTGTCAACGTGTGATTGCTGTTGGCATTTGCTACCAATCGGGCTACTTTTCGAATGCTTCCAGTCCCATAGCGAGCGAATGTGAAGAAAGTTTTGATGGTTTTGATATATGGTAATAAAAAAACCGCTACACTAGATCAAGGCATTACACTTCATAGTGTCGTCTGTGTTTCACCCCTCAGCTATAACATCACTAACATGACTGATCATCACAATATTAATAAAAATTTGGCCAAAAACGGTATAAACAGGTAGGATTGTCGAGAGAGCAGGAACAGGATTTTCAGTTGAATTCGTGACAATAACAGTAACACTGAAAAGTGTAAGAGAAGAAACGGATCCCAAATCGTTTTTTGCCAGACACAGCAAGCGCCATCGTTGTTGTAATAGAAAGATTAATTGCTCGAGAAAGACAGATGCTGCGAAAATCAAAAAACGAAAAAACTCCATACACCTTATCGGTGGCGAAATGCTTTAAAGTACACAAATTGCACCGCTGCCGCTGCCGCCGCAACGCAGCCTCTCGAGCACATCACCACATGCTTTTCACATGGGGCCCTTTCTGATTTTCTTGCGAAAAAAAAAAAACTGGAATTTATTACAATAAAATCCAGCACACACATTGATCAGCAACAAATCTGTATCCATTGACGAAGCTCCGTTGTTCCCACGAGCCCGAAGTCGCAGCGAG